TGTGCACACACACGCGCACGCGCATATGTACACACATTTGTGAGTGTGTATGTCCTTACATATACGATAGCGTATATATATATATATACATACATACATACATATATATATATATATATATATATATATACTATTATATGTATATATATACACACACACATTTGTGTGTGTGTGTGTGTATGTGTGTGTGTGCATACATGGATGTGTTGTTTCCGCTACTTCCTTTGCTTCTGCTTGATCCAAATATTTCCCATAAGCTAGATTTTATCAATGAAATGCCGTAATATCAAACGCAATATCATTTATGCAGAGGACGTAGCCCGATTATTCACTGTGAACCAACGATGAATAATGAGAAGGCGAACAGTGTTTTCAGAGAGATTCCTGGTATCATATACACACCCCAGCTCGACTCACCCGAGTTAAAGGGTCCGAGGAAGTGTAGTGTAAACCAATTGGCTTCGGAAGTTTACCTTTGGTTTTATTTGTAGAATATCTTGCATCCTTTTCCCCTGGTCCGCTGTCGCCTTTTTCTTTCACGACTTTGGGGGGGTCTGTTATTTCTGAAAATTGTTTAGGCTCGACGTCGATGGCGCTGCTGAAGTGTACCATTTGTACAGAGATTGCTATACAGTCAAAATTCTACTTTAGTCCCTAACTAACTATAATCACTTCTTCTTTCTTCTTTTATAGGGTTTTAGACCATTTTTTAGTCTATATTCCCTAACTATAATCACTTGCATAACATATCACGACTCGCTTGTGCGTTCAGGGACCAGCTACTGAAATCCGCTTAACTTCGGGGTTAGAACGAGCCTGTTGGGTTTAAACGCAGCTCTCATAATAGCCATTAGGTTTGTCATCTAGTAATGTGTCCACGTTAAATCGCCCTAATGCTCATCAAAACAAGCAAGAACTTATTGATAAACGCCCTAAATCGACATTGTGATGCAAACAAGATTATCATAATCAGCTATTGAATCAGTTCCTATCCACGCTGATAGAGAGATCCGCACAGTGCAAGTAAATAGACACGTTTTCCTCGGGAGGTATTTTGTCTTTGGTATGATTCCATTATTCCATAAGAGGTTTACTTGCTATATGGCGATGGTTTTAAAAACATTAGGTCTGGTTTTCAATTCATAAATTCCCGTGGTGAGTGAAGGCGTGTGAAATCAGCAAAATCAGAGGCATCTGAGAAAAAAGTGCAGAAGTTCGTCTGAAAAGATTGGAAACAATTGTAAGATAGCCATACGTCTAGAGCCCTGTGGGTAGCATCTCAATCTGCATGCCCGCAGCTCCCACTGGTCTAAAGGGAAAGGAAAAGTATATGCCCCTACCTAATAAGAGGAAAGAGACGCTATGATACTGCGCAGCATAACATGGTGTTATATTCCGGTACACGCGGCATACTACTGTGTTTCTACATTAACCCTGGAAAAACTGTATTTCATGGATTCATACTCTATTACAAGGCCAGTCGTTATAAACTCCAGGGAAGGCAACTGATCCGTCGGGTTTATTTGACAACCTCCACGCGTACAAGAGAAAAAAGTCCTTTTGAAACACGGCTCAAAGATCACAGAACCGATAGGGTCTTATCAGCCACAGTGATCGCAGATTCCCAAAGGATGGCGTGCTTCGCAGATTCGGAAACTTGGTTTTGTTGTCATTTTTCGAGACGTGTCCGAGTCTCATTCCATATACGAGACCAGAGCCACGCACCGAAGGCTGAATGGGGATCGAAAGCTGAATGGGGAGGAATCGAAGTCAGCTGAGACTCCCATATATTCATCCAAATACATAACACGCCAATACTAATAATAAAAGACAGAAGGGTGGAAAGGGGAGATGAAAGGAGTGAGCACAAAGGAAAATGAAAACAGAGTGGGGGAATATGAATAATCTTGCGATACAATGGCAGCTTTGGTTGTTATGACATAGTGAGGGATTATTTTCCTGGGAGAAATCACATGCGTGCTTTCTTTCAGAGAAATAAGTAATTCATCAGTGGAGATCATGCGGAAATAGGCGAGGGAAAATGTCAAAACTGCATCAGACTGAAATACCTGGATCAGTCTTATGAAAACAATAGAATGGTTTAGCATTAACGACCGAGTTTCTCTGGATATTTTTCCTAAACAACGGTGGGGAGGGGAATAATATTTACATCGGAAGCCAGTATAGCTCTCCCTCTGAACTGTTGCCAAGCACTGCGCGGACTAGTGGCGGGAGAGAGTCTATAGCCGAGTCGTATTTTCTCGACAGCGAAATCCCTAATGATGCTGCTGAAATTATTCACCTTGCAACCTCCCTTTCAGTGCTTAAAGACGCCAGATCTGTCCAGCAAACGAATTAAACTATTATGGTGATGAAGAAAGAAAATCCTGGTCCCGCTCTCAAGAAATTAAAACATAAATTTCGTTATCCGGATCGCTAGGAAGTTGAGAAATGTTTTTTTTTTCATTTTATTAATCGGACCAAAGCAAGTACCTAATTATATTGAATTCTCACTCCCAATTCCCTCATTAAGTTGAATTGATATATTTAATTGGTAAATGTTAGTCCAAAGTTATTCAGACAGAATGTTCATTATATTGACTCATCAGAACGATATAAAACGCTTGTTGTCTGCACTTTATTCAGGACTGAACAATTGGACATCAGAGAAGAGAGAGAGAGAGAGAGAGAGAAAGAGAAAGAGAAAGAGAAAGAGAAAGAGAAAGAGAAAGAGAAGAGAGGGAGAGGGAGAATGGGAAGAGGGAGAAAAAAGTTCAGCCAATGAATTTTCCAAATACGAAAATTTATATGCTTCTCGTTCATGAAACTGGTTTTTCAATTCATAACGAACCGATCTTCCATTTTCAGCAGTTTAGAACCATTTTGTTCCTCAAATGCTGAAGTTTGAAATGCAATATGACCAGCAGAGGAATTCAGGTTATATTTTACTCAGACGGGACAGGATTCTATCCCTTAACAAAAGAATCCTAAATTAATTCACACTAAGCTTCTCAAAAACATCACTTAGATTTTCTCATATCTTGGAATCCAATTTCTTACTGTTTTTGTTCCGTTATTACATAGAGTTACATACAAACGATCATTTTACTTCTGTTACGCATTTCGCCTGTGTGTGTGTGTGTGTTTGTTTGTGTGTGTCTGTGTGTGTGTGTGTGTATTTGTGTGTGTGTGAGTATTTGCGTGTGTGTATGAGTATGTGTGTGCGTGTGTGAGTATTTGTGTGTGTGTGTGTGTATTTGTGTGAGTGTATGTGGCTTCGTGCACCTGTGTCTTGTGTATGAAGATGTACACATGGAACTAATGGTAATGATTAAAACGTAATTACTGTACTTATATTTTTTCCTGTTCCCGACTCGGATATTATTCGCAAGTGATGCTGAATACGGTCTAGCAGTGTAAGCAAATTTATTTCGTATACAGTTGATTAGTTATTTTCACCTGCTGAACGTCTCCACTCGGTGAATTGGACTATTAACTGATACTAAAATTAGTAAACGTACATTGCCTTAAGAAAATGACAACGTTCCATCTAGGTACAAACCCTATTATATTCATTAGGCGATAATATAACCATTTTACGATTTACCCCTTTGTGGAACCAACTCCTGAAAATAAAAGTATGCTATATGCAATTCCTCTGTACCCGCAAAACATGAGGCAAAGTCATTACTGGAACAGATTCACCGAAAAAGTTTTCCTTCTGTGCGTCGCGAGACTCTACTCGGCCATTCTAGACATGCGTTACTGAAGTCCTTGGGGGGTCTCATCTCGTAGGATATTGATCGCCTCGCATACGTCATACATCTGCTGCATGATTCGCAAGCTTTTGAAAATACATGACAAACAGTTGTATTGGATCTAACAAACACCGAGCACATGAATAGTAATTGAACTTTGTTGAACTAAACGTTCTTGTACCGTAGCAGGATTTTGTTCCGGTCTAGAATGGTTTGGAATATTCGTTGTAGGATAGTGCGGAAAATAGTTTGGGCCACTGTGATGAAGTATTTTCGTAAACTATAATCCTGCTTATAATTTTTGTGATGAAAAATTGAATATATCACATAGTAAAAGTGAAGCAATTAAATGGGTTGATAAAGTTACCCATTTTCCAAATCTTTTCGGACACAGCCTAAACGAAAATCAGTGGTTTAGAGAGAGAAAAATAAAAGTATAATAAGTAATATATCTCCACTTCCCAAAATCACAGGCACTCACACTCCTGCTACAAATTAACATATTCAAAAGCAACAAAAAAGTAATAATAGATAAGCTAAAAAAAACATCAAAGTTTGTGACCCTATATATAAGGCCGTACCGTACAGTGCTGTGCCGTTTGTCTGCATAGCCATGTACCGTACCGCGATCAGAGCCACCTAGCGGCCGAAAAAACAACCAGAAGGAGAAGACGAGAAGACAACAAGTGACCCAGTCGAGGAAATATTCGGACGCGAATACGTACTAATTTATTAATTTCATCTCGGATTCATTCGGGTGAGTCAATTTTCTCGGTTTGTTAGATTAGTTAGGAGTAAGTTCTGGGGTTTCAGAAAGGCTGGAAGAGAGAAATAAGGGTGTGATGAACGAAGGAAAGGGCGAACAGGGGAATGACAACAGGAAGACTCGAATCCAGGAAATTTAGGAGAATGACGTAGTTTGCGCGATTTATAACCGGAAACGCCAGTATTTCATAACTGATTTGCCAGAAAATATTTGTAAAACATACTCAGTTAGAATTCGAAGGTTCCACACAAGCACTTCAAAGTTTTCATTATTATTATTATTATTTCGGGTGGGGGATGGGGTGGGGGGGAGGAGGGGATTTTACCCAAAAGAAAGTATATCCCTTATATATACACCGATTTTGCGAGAACCACGTAGCCAGCTGTGATTCTCTCTAGGGAAACGGAAATTTAAAGTGGTGCAACACATCGTAAATTCAATGTCATGTGATCATGATTTCTGACGTTTCCCAGTTGCAGTGATTGCAAAGACCTCGGGTGATTGCAGACGTCTCTGTTTCGCTAAAGTGTTTGTGCTGGATTTTCACTCGGTTTTCGAAAAGAAAATTGATTGTATAATAATAAACTTTGGATTCAGTGAAGTTTACCCATATTGAGACTAAATATATCTAAGGTGAAGGTTTACAGATAATGTTTTTGATTTCCAGAAATGGATCTGTGAGGTTTTATGACAATTTCATTTGAGCAGGTGTCTTGAGAGTGTGGCAAGTGTATGTTATGTATTGTGTAATATGTATACATATGGTGTAATCAGGAAGGTGATCTGTTGAGGAGAGAGGGAGAGAGAGAGAACTTGGGAAATGATTGCATAACCTACCCTGACCTTGCTAAGGATCAGTACCTCTTACCTCTTAGGAGCCCCGGCCATGCCTAGAAGGGAATCAAATGTGAATTTGCTCTGAAGGCTCGGTGGTCATATTATTCAGAATTTCATCAAGCTTTCTCTTCCATTTCTTTCCTACTATCAGGCTTCATGCCAAGCCTCATGTTCCTTTCAAGTTACACCACTGTTAGGGTAGTAACAGTTATTGGCAGCAAGCCAGATGTCTCCCAGAATTATTTGCTCGGAAAATCTGTACGGGATGGCTGCACTAAGTTCGATGTTATTGTAGAGGACAAAAAGTAAAAGAGGTTGGTACAAGAAATAATCTGCAGACACGAATGGTAACACCACAAATAAAGGAAAAAAGTCACGAAAAGCGTCGCTTGCAGACTAAGTCCACTCGGCGAGAAAGAACAAGTTGCCGCGCAGCTCGCCTGCCGTCTTCTGCCCTACTGTGCACCTACGTCACCACTACCTCATGACCAATCAGGAGGCGGCAGTTTAGCAGAGATTTTTAATTGCTCATTCAATTGGAATCATCCTAAATGAAAGAAAGTGTGAAAAGTGCAGTGCAATTTTCTGAACTGGATCAGCTCAATCTTGCCGTGCATATCAAGGTGTAGAGAATTTTGCTCTGAGAATTCAGTTAGCATAGGATAAGGCATAGATATTTATAACTTTTAAACACATTGGTTAAAATGCTCCCTCTCCCTCTAAGAGAGTGGTATATATGCACATAAAATATAAATTACAAACCTTGGGACTTTGACACTTTGATAAGAAATTGGCATACTCTACAAGAATATCATCTTCAATTTGCGATACCTTAGTGCATCTATGTCATAAAGATTAACCAATATTTCTTTAAAATATGATGATGTATATGAGAATACTCATGTGATTCCTAGGACCTCACTCGGATGGCACCTTGTTTGTTTATATGGGCAGTATGTTTGTTACCTTGGTTACGTGATAGGGTCAAACTATTTGCATACAGAAAGTTCATATGGAAATGCGAAAATTGATGGAAAAAGTGCTAGTGTGATAGGGCCAATAGTGTTGTTTTTGTGTTATCTCAGTATGATCCATGCTTCATGATATACTGAAATGAAAATATAGATGATGGCCTTACAAGGATGGAAAAACTATTATTTTGTAGAGAGTAAAAGTAGGTCCATAATTGGGTAATTCTTTCAAAGACAAATGCGTCTATTTTCCGCAGAAAAATACTATCTTCTAAGAGAAATATGTATGTACAGTAGATATATTGTGATTTTAAATGGTGCCCCTGTCAGAGACATCCCCTACTCAAGCCAGCAATGTTGGGTGGTCCCGAGGGGAATCGGGGGGTTAGGGGGGATTTCATTCATTGCAGGCATGTTAAAGAGCAAAAGAAAATGAAAAAATAAAATTCCGAGGCAATAATCGCATTTCATATGATAGAGAAAGTGGAAAATGGAAAATCCTGTGAAGATTTGGCCACAGAAGATTGAACACTGTGTTGTGTGAACAAACGAGTGAACAAACCTTATCGTAAATGCTCAAATGATCAGAAAGAATGATGAGTGAACCAAAAACCTTCCTATCCCAGGGGCATTGCCCCCGGACCCCCTCCCAATCACCATGCATCCCTAATGGGGGCTCTGCCCCTAGACCCCTATAGTCTTAATATGATAATTTCAAAACATGCCTATCTAGTCACCTACCATTTTTACCTTTAATGGATGGAGGATAAAGTTTAGCTTCTGTCAAGAGGAACTGGTGGAAACACTTGTTTGTATCATGAATAATCAATCAATTCTGCTCTTATTTCCACATTTCTCATAATTCGTAGGTTTACTTTGCAGACTGTGACTTGCGTAAATGTCCATGACTTTCAAAGAATTCCACTATATTGTCTTAAAAAGACCATGGCTAAGATCACATTCAGTACGAAACATATGAGTGATTGTCAAAGATTAGTTAAGGAACTGTCAGATATCCCAGTTGGGAGAATGCACTTGCACTAAAAAGATGTTATAACAAAATGTCCAAAATAATTCATAACAGGCATATTTTGTTTTTTATGATATTGCATAAAAGCACAAGATACTCAAACATAGACGAGTAGATAGGATCAAATAGGAAAAAAAAAAATTCACAAGTGCTTAGTAGCACTAGTTGGCAGGTCACAATAATGAATTGTGTGGCCAGTTTACTATATGAGACTGCGGAGTAAACGTATAGAGCAACTGTGTGGATTGTGTGCTTTGTATTACATGATTCCACACAGTTTAATCAGTACAGGGGCATATAAATGCTAATTATACTATAGTACATCAGTTTTTTTTTTCAACATTCACACCAGTTGACTCATAAAAAGTACTTATTAAATGACTTGCTGAACATATTCTTGGACACTCGCAAATCCGTATGAATTTCTTGAAAGTACACACACAAAAAAAACATAATATGCTCTATACTAATAGATCTTTAAAGGCCTTGGCCCTTCTCAAAGTCAACTGGCAACTACAGTAACATGTCTCAACATTCTTCTGTGAAGTATGAATTGTTGCACAGTAATTTCCTCTTTGATTACCATACATAGCACAACATCAAATACAATAACTAGAAAAAAGTGGTAAACATGTATAGCGCTTTGTGGTGCATAAGTAAATGTCAAGGGGCAAACTGGTAGGGGTGTCTCCATGCTAAGGGGACTAGTCCTATAATTTTTAAACAGATATTCAAGATAATTAATACTCATCAGCATGGTTACAGTAAGCTATGTATCTTTTCTTAAGCTCAGCTGAATATGTAAGACACTTAGACTTTACAGTTGAAAGTTAAAAAATGTGTATTGTTTGGATAGGTGTTGAGTATTAAGTCAGAGTGGTTGGGTGTTGAACTCAGTCATGTCATGTTGGTTAAATTTAAGACCAGCTGTTTGTAGGCACAATACTATGACATCAGTTTCATGGCATGTCAAAACTCTTAAATGTCTAGTTTGAAGTTTATTAATGCCTAAATACTTTTACTTGTTTAGAAAATATTTTAAGGATTAGCTTGCCCAATGATTGTGCATAGTTTCTGATGCATATGTTAAATTCCAGCAGTTTTATGGCCAAAACTAACAGTACTGCCAAATTGTTAGATTGTAGTGAATTGTTAAGTTTTCTTTCATGCATGCCATATATTATAGTAGTTGTCTTCTGGTTAGTTGATTTTTTTTCTTTGCACATTATATCATATTGTGCCCTCCCACCTCAGCAATCCTCAACAAATATATTCTATTTGTTTAAACAAATTCTACCATAGTGAAGTGTTTACCTTACAGAAAGCAAAGGATGCTAAAAGCTTAGTTTCAAAATTTGAACAGGTTCTTGCTCATGGGATTGAACATATGTCAGAACATGAGATTTTGCAACTGTAGAAAATAAATATAAAGTCTTAGTTTGGAAGTGATAATATGATACTTAAATTGGAAAATCATAATCTGATACTTCCCTTAATGTGCTAATTGGGCATCTATTGGCTTTTGCTAAAGCTCATTTTTGCCTGTCATTTTGTGGACTTTGGCTGTCCTTATTTGCATGTCATTTTGTAGACTTTGGCTATACCATATGTTGCTGGTTGTTCTATTTCCTTTGGCTTTACCTCACATTTGCAGGTTGTTCTGCATTCCTCGGATATATCTCATGTTTCCCAGTTGTTCTGTGGGCTTTGGCTATATCTTAGTATACCCTATTCTAGCATTCTATATACTTTAGCTATTACCTTATGTTTGGTTGTCATAGCAGTATAAGTCAGAACTAGAAATAAATATCTTTTTGAGAATAATATTTCAGTATTTGGTTTGATTACAAAGAAAAAAAGATAAGTGCGTGTTCAGAAAATATCAGAATGTTAAAAGGATACTTTTGAAGGTACAGCTGCACAGAAAACTATCATTTGGAGGGTGTGGAAACATTCAATAACAAACAGAACCTTACATTATGGAAGGGTTTGTATTTTGGGTATCAAATTTGTCTCGTTCTGATTCATGTCTCGAGTAGTAGTTCTGGAATTCATATGGGTCCACTGTGAAATGATGATTTTATTTGTGTAAAGGATGGATTATGCCTTTCAATATTCAGATAAGACACACATACCCAAATGTAGTTGGAAAATCAGGGATAACAACAGCATCGTAGCATTAATGACTATATTTCAGAAAGTATCATAGCTGGTGTTAGAAAGTTTAGCATGATTTTCTAATGACATTTTATTTGTAGCTGTACCTTCCTTTACAGTTATACTTCGATATTTAAAAGGTGTTTGTTATAGGCAGACATTTGATATTATCATGAAATATATAACTAATACCTTCTACTTAATAAATAAGGATAAACCTAATAAGGTTATATCAGTGTTACAGACCTGTAGACAAGCATATATTTTCACAAACATGTACAAGATTGTAATCAACTTCATAGACTTAAACAAATGCTAATTTTTTCATGCAACACATGGGCATAGCTAATGTAAGGGCTGTTGACCACTGAAACAGTGCAATCTACTCAAGAGCATTTAAAATACAGTGGTAGTAAGTGTCTGAAGCACCCTCTCAAACAACACAAGCAATTATAATTTTTGTCACAGCTAAATGATGAAGTTCATAAAGAAATTTTGTGTGCTAGGCTTCTGCCTAGAAACAGCGAGGCTTACACAACAAATATGGGAGACATTTGTGGACTTATCCTGCCATAGCTAATCAAGTGGATAGTTCATGTTGTGCAGGAAAGTCATTGACAGTTTTTTTTTTCTGCATTACAAAACAAAAATTAAAGATCTTGTATTTGACATGCCTTGTTCTGTTACAGTTGTAATCTGTCCCACAGCGAATGAAACATTCACATAGATATGTACAGCATTTCATCTGCTCATGTAGAAAGGGCCTGACTTATAGATTTTTTCTTCTTTTCTTAATTACTTCCCCCACCGTCACTGACTCTTATGGTCGTATGCTTAGAGACATTGTGGAATACATTCTTTGATGCACAAAATCCTCTGCTAAGGAATAATACCACAAAAAATCAACCAATATACCAGAATAGTGCAAGAGGATAAGAACACTGTATTTTTTAAACTGACAGTCCCAAAGTTACGTTCAGACATCCTACAATATTGAAGATTCTTGTATAAGAAAGTTGTGTGAAGAACTGCTTTGTGTTGCACAATTTTTTTAAGCTTGTGGCCATTACAAGCACTCATTCCTCCCATAGACCATGCAAGTTAAAAACACATTATCACAGCACATTATAGAAACAAGGAAGTCTTCATATACTCAGTTTAAGCAAACACCTCACAAAAGTACGCAAATGCAGACACTGGCACTTACAGCCAGATCTTCACTCCTTATCCCAAACAACCTACCTTACACGAGAAATATTATATGATATATAGAAAAGAAAAAATAGATAACATATATATTGTTTAATTGAGAGATAGTTTGTATTTTTCCTTAAAAAAATATTTGTTTTGGAAATGGAATAAGGAAAATGAAGTATATGATATGTACATTTTTAAAAGAGTATTGTAAGGTCTGATATGGCAGATATCCAACCATCTCTTAGTACAGTTCATGGGTGTCGACTGGGGAAAACTTACAAGAATCGTCCGAAAAGTTAGATTGAATAGCTTTCATATGCAGAGGGTATGATGCCGGCCTTGCTCGATGCAAAAGTGAACTTTGTGTTTTACATGGGGTCTTGGTCTGGTGATTAGTTCTTCATTCTGTATAATATTTCATACTCACTACAGAATGTTGCTTTCCACCCTTTCTCTGAAGTTATTTTAGTGGAGTAAATGCATGGACTGGAGTACAGTGGGAGAGTAAGCTGGTTAGAGACTGTAATCAGAGTGATTGATAATGTTTATCTTATCTGAGATAGGGATGAGAGATGAGGTGACCATTATTTTTTTTCCCCTATTTCTTGAAATGAAGAAATAAACCACAAAAGAGTTAGAAATTTGGTTAAACCTTATATGTATTGCTCAGAAAGATGAAAGAATATACATGAAAATAGATTTTTTCCTTCAGAAGTTTAATACCTAATAAACTTTTAAAGCTGTTGGTAGCATGTTATAACCCAATAATTGCTAAATTCAAAGTTCGCAAATAGCCAATAATGTGGGTTCTTGGCTTGCATTAGCAATATCCCCTGTTTGCACCTAGCTTTTTCCTATTCCAATCACAATATTAGGCACCTAATAGATTATAAAAAAAAAGTTTCTGTTCACTTTAAGTGCCTACATCTAATAGTGACACCAAACAAATGAAGTTGTGAGTGTTTGAAATAGACAAGCTCTGTTTGATGAGCCAATGGTGTGGGGTATGCCACAAAATGGTGCCATCTGTGACCAGGTCCACCATAGTCATTGCAAGTTATGCTATCCAAAAGGTTAAACTTGCATTAGCCTGTTGGTGCTGGGAACATTTGTGCACAGCCACAAAAAACATCAAATTTTCATATTTGGCCAAGCCAATTAGATCTTGGGTGTTTGTAGTTCTGAAATTCACACAACTGATATTGCATGTCTCCTGCTAATGTTTCCTAATGGTATAGAGCATTGAATTATCAATTTTTTTTTACAAAGTCGCTGCTACTATAGCAAATGGATAGTTAGACAAACAAAGAGCAATAAAACATATTTCTGTGTATATAAAGTAAAAGGAAAATATACTATTAGATAAATGTGGGAAATAGTATTGTTAAAAGGATACAAGAGGTGTGGGGTTACTTAGGAGGGGGGGGTTGTACAAATAAGGTTGCAGAAATAGTTGAATCCGAGTGAATAGAACTTTATTGCAAATTGCCAGTATATATTACAAACATAGTGTTCATATCAAAAAAATTCAGAGAGTCCCGGAAAATATACAATACTATTCATTTTTGTAGATGTTTTTCTTAGACAGCAACCGTACATATATGTTACTGAAATAATACGAAGTGTATGCATAAATACAACATATTAGAAAGAAGAAATTTTGTTTCAATATTCAATGGCCTTTTAAGATTATAAGGGTCATCCCTTGATATGCCACGTTCTCTCGGGAGGCTTCATATCAGCAAGTAAGGGATAACTTAAATGTTGTTACATACATGGCATATATTATAAGAACTCTTACTTTATACTATGTTAATTCAACTGAGAATTCCAGTGTTTCAGTGTTGACTCACCTTGAAAGAGGTACCAGGTGGTAGCTTTATAACAGATGAGAGGATGGGGGGATAGGGAGTGACTTCAGAGTAGAGTGCTAGAATTACTTCACCAAACTCTATACCTCCCTTGATAAACAGCAATGCTTGAGAAACACAGTTGATTGAGTCAAATGGTAAAATGCTGGCAACATAGGACATATAAAATGAAAAATCACTAAGTGATTAGTGTCAGGTGTTAGGGTTTGATATATTTGAATAAGAGCATGCAAGGGTGCATACACTTGCACAGAGACACACACATGTACATATTTATGTGTGTGTAAATAAAAATGAATTAAATATTCTCATACTCCATGTGCTCCTTAAACATAATTAATGAAAATAGATTAAAATGTTTGTACTGGTACATGCTTCATATTATGCGTATTTGGTACATTTAAATTTTTTTTTTTTGATTAAGCCTTTCTTTCATGCAGTTGTGTGTGATAGGGTAATTATAACTACCAATATGACAACATGAATCATGGTCTCTGTTACTTTTCCAGAATGTCGGCCCCCTATCCAGTAGACCCAAATAAAGCTGGTGCTGCCAATACTGGCTGGGCAGTCCCTGGTGCCCCTGCTGGCTACCCTGCTCAACCTGGGTATCCCGCACAACCTGGAGGATACCCAGCTCAGCCTACTGGATATCCTGCACAGCCTGGTTATCCTGCACAGCCTGGGTATCCTGCACAGCCTGGGTATCCTGCACAGCCTGGCTACCCTCCTCAGCCTGCTGCAGCCTTCCCTCCACAACCTCCTCCTTACTCTGCACAGCCTGGCCCTTACGTAAGTGTCTCCAGATCCTTTGTCTGCATTATTAATGGGAATTGCAATTGCTATGTACAGATGTAAACATATCAAGTGCAGACATTAAACATATCAAGCACAGACACTTTGACCACCTGCCAAGTATTTTTATGCAGGTAGCTAGGAATTGTTTGGTTGCTAGAACAAAAAGAATGGAGAAAGTATAGCTATGTGAAGTTTAACAATGTTCTTATTTCCTTGATTTTGAAAGTAAGGTTTATCAAATGATTTGATGACATACATGATAGATGTTATACATGATATGCAAAGAGAACTAATGCCAAAATAGAAAGTAATATTACACAATTTTACAGTAAGTATGTTTGTCATGTATTTAACCCAATTACAATTGTAAAATTTCATTTCAAATTTGGTGAAGCCAGAATGTGTTCATGCATGCCACTCTTTGCTTTAGCTATCATTCAGCTCACAGCAGGACTTGAAAGCCACCATCTTGGCCACCAAAGCCCAGACTTATGATGTGATTAGATGTCACATGGCATCTAATGAAATATTATCTGAATTAAGAGATGCCTTTTTTGCAGCCATAAATCCTTAACCCTTATAGGACAAATCAGCTCGCTAAACAATCACATCTGATAACTCTGACAGCATTTGCATAAAGAATTAGTTGGAACATACAGACTGAATTACACAGACATTTGAAATCATTGTAGTAGTTTTCTGGCATCCATTGGGAATAAGATACAGTTTGATGTGTCCTTCCTGAGCATGCCAAAATATAGGGAACATATCTACTAGGGATTAACCCACAGTGTCAAAGTGACATTGAGTTGGTCCTGATTGCTGAATGAGATCGCATGTGTACTACTGTAGAGTGACAATCACCTAAGTGAGGAGGATCTGTGCTCACAAATGAACAACTAAAATGTTTCCAGTCATTATTTGGTACAGGGGACTATCCTACAAGGGAAGAAGGATTTAGGTTACTACTGCTCATATATTTGATAAATAGTCACATCAATATTATGGTAAACAAATGCCATTTGCCATGAACTATTAAACATTTGCCATTGTGTTAGGGCCCTTTCTAATGATTTTAATATGAATTAGAAATGTTATTCCCTTTTTATTTTAGAAGATATATACATGGAAGAATCTCTCTCTCTCTCTTTCTCTCTCTCTCTCTTACTCTCTCTCTTTTACTTTCTCTCTCTTACTTTCTCTCTCTCTTTCTCTCTCTCTTACTCTCTCTCTCTCTCTTACTCTCTCTCTCTCTCTTACTCTCTCTCTCTCTCTTACTCTCTCTCTCTCTC